TACATTGCCTATCCTTGGGAGGAATGATGGTTAATTATGGGAATATTTGTCCATATTAATGTATAACCTCTAGAATATTGAAAAAATAAAATAAAAAATACATTGAAATTGGGTCTCCTGCAGCAAACCACTAAATCCTGATCCTCCAAAAGCGACATCAGCTTCAGTAAGAGACTGCTTGGGATATCTTGGCCAAATGGTAAACTCCGACTTTCTTTCTGCAAAGGACTTGAGGATGTGTGCATGACGTCATCCACGAATATACTCCCATAAATACTCATTAAAAAATTAATGGAATGTACTGACATGCTCTGCATATCTGCATGGCTTCAGCTCATATAAGTGATTGGAAGCTGCTTGTAGTTTGTTTACTCATCTAAGCAAGTGGTTTTTGAAATAATTTTTAGGTGAATAGGAAGCCATTTCTGTTCGTACTAAGCATGCATTAGCAGGTTCTATTCATTTATATAGGGAAATGTTTCTCATTTGTGCATGGCACAATATTGTTTTCAAGAAAACCTGTGTTAAATAAAAGAACCCTCCCCAAAAAACCCAAACACACCTTTGCATTAAGCATCATACCTATGTTATTTACTTGATGCTCTACCAGATGACCCTTTACAGCAGTGGTTCTTAACTTTTGATTTGAACCTGTAAAATGGGTTCCTATTTATTAGGTCCCCTATGTTGGGTACATGTTAATCAGATCTTAGACGTTTGCCAACAATAAATGGTTTCCTAAAGCAGCACTACCTTCTCTAGGATAAGGGAAACCCCTTGGGCACTGAGAAGTGTAATGAATGTGTTACACCCACTTTAATTTTGTAGATATTGCGTTCCAGCTGAAGAATGAGATGCGGGTCTCAAAAAAGTAAAGAACCACTGCAATAAAGCAAACAAGACCAATTTTAAAATGTTAACGAAGGGAGAAAAATATAAGACTATAAAAATATCACTTGCTGTATTACTTGTTTTAATGCACAGCACTCTTTATGAAATCACAAGCTAGATTAGTGACTTTGTCAAGTTTCAGGCAGTTAAGGCAATTTAAGAAGTCCTTCAGACCTCAAGTGTACAAGATACCAATTTAGGAAGAAAACACACTTTAACTGCTTACAAATGAATAACTCATTACCATTTAGAATGAAATGCCTGTTACAAGCATGATGCACTAATGTTACGTCATGTACATAGTACATGTTAAGTATTTAAATAAAAGCTAACCATATAGTTATGCAAATATACAGTACAAATTCACAAAAAGAAAACCATGTACAATCCGAGGTAACATTACACACCACATAGTTAAAATACATAGAAATCAGTCATATTTCTTTCGAGAAACAATATTTTAGATTTAACTCAAATGACAAATTTCCACTAAAATGTAACCCCAAAATATTATTGACCGACATTCTGTTTAATCACTGTTACCTGAAATATTTAAAAAAATATTATATTTTATATACACACACATTTTTCTCTGTCCACATATATACACACACATATACATACATAATTTACTCATATACATATATGTGCATATGTATATATAACATGGCTTTAAGTATCCTTAGAAATAGCATACAATTAATAATGGAAGGAATTTATGACCCCAATTGTGTAGTCTTACAGCAGCTGAGTATCACACTAGGCTTATAGCATTGAACGAAAAACAGATACACAAAAAAAACAACAACAAAAAAAAAAACAACAAAAGAATAAACCACAACTAACCATTACTGTGCCAGGTAATATTTAAGTAAAAAAACAATAAAGAATTCTAACCATAGTTGAGGTCTCCAAGTGTGCTTTTTGGTAACAAACAAGGGGAATATCACAAGGGCTACAAGTTTAGAGTAAACAAAGTAAGAGAAAAGAAACATGGTATTCAACTACACTCTTGATTTGTGTAGCAAATCACACACTGGTGGCAGGTAGCATTCTTGTATACCAAGCCCTGTGATGCTCAGCTAATTATCACAGAGCTACAAGCTACTTGATTATCTAAACTTGCAGCCCTAGAAAACGCTATGTACATCAATCTGTAGGAAGCATTGTGTGTTAAATTAAAAAACAAAACAAAAACAAAACAATGCTATACCCAGTATTAATGTAACAATTTAAGGGAAAAAAAAAAACACAATTACATTTCCCCCCCCATTTTAACTTTTGTCAATACACTAATTGAGCCTAGTTCCATCTTTAGAAAGAATTTTCGCTATAGAACAACACTTTGATTAGACAGCAGTGGTTTCCACATTGACCTCAGTTGTATTAAAAAAACACCCACACCATTTAGCTTTCTTTCAAAACTGGCCAATGAAATTGTGATCCTGCCAGCAGGATAACAGTGCAACGTATATTAAGTTCTACTTGTAGTAAAAAAAAAAAAAAAAAAAATGTTGTAGCAGATGTTCCAGGTTTATCAGTCTGTATATTCAGCCACAATTGAAAGGAGAACAGTGATATCATCTGGTTTACCACCTGCAAAAAACAAATGCATCGTGATATTAATAAAAGTACTTTTTTTCAAATAACTATTCTATTAATCCAAAGCACACACTGCTTATATACTGCAGCAGACATTTTAATATTTCTAAAAGAACACCCTGTACCTGGAGTAAACTAGTATATTACCATTTTCGTGGACAGAAAAATTAAAAATTAAAAAAGGTATATTTTATAATCCAAGTACTCCACGCAAACAATGGGCACGGCACTGGAGCAATAATTCAGATCACAGGAAAGTAGTTTAAATCTTGGTAAACACAGGCCAGACCATGTAAATGCAGTTCTTCAGACACAGTTCGCAGGCTGTGATATAGCCTGTGGCTAGTCTTAGATCTCAATTTACAGGAAGTGTTTAGGAATGTTGTGTAGGTCACATGAAGGGAGGTGTGACTAGGGCTTTATAACCAAAGTAATCTACCTCCTAAATGGCAGAGAACTGAGCATTGAGACTGCAAGGGCATGATCTATACATGAAAACTGCTTGATTAAGCTAAAGTTGTTTTGGTGACTATAGTGTCCCTTTAATCATTTAACTAGTGGATGTGAATTCCACTAGCCTTTTCTCCATAACTTCTATATACATTGCAGATCAGAGCTGCCAGATATACTGCTAACACTGCAGCTCAAACCTGAATTACAAAGGTTTTTCCCTCTTCATAATGACTGATCCTTTCACGAGAGTCTACCAGACTTCTTAAACTGTGCGGATAATGAGCGTAACTTTTTTCTTCAATCTGTGTGTGGCTCAACCGTAGTGAAGCTAAATCAATGGAATCGATTTGGAATTCTGTGAATACACACAGGTGTTTCCTCACTAAATGGCAGTGAATTGAAAACAAAATTGCAAAAATAGACAACCTAATTCTGCTGTAGTCACAGCTTGGTTATTTTAACCTAAAAAAATGCATTTCACAAGAATTCACAATTTAGTAAATAAACCCCATACTTTAAAATACTTTGGGCTGAAAATAAGTTAATAGTATCTACAACCAAGGGATGGAATTGAGGTGCTTTTTATTTCCCTTCGGACTGCTTTAAAACAAAGTCACTTACTCAACAGTCTCTTAGCACCATAGCTAGAGAAATGTACTCACCTCTAACATTCAATCCATAGTCACATGCAAATTGTGCAAAAGGTGACATGTAATTTGGATCATATGCCAGGTCGTGTGCTTGCTCTGCAATGCTTCGTGCCGCCTGCTGTATACTTTCATAATTTGCATTCTAAAACAAAATACATATGTGTAAAAAAAAAATTTAAAAAAATGTAAAAACAATTATGCAAACAGACTGCCAAACAGCACAAATACACACACATATAGATGTGACCATAGTGTATTACATTTTGAAACATTCAATGTTTGTGGTTATTTCTGTAGGAAGGTGTAGTGAGTGAACATAGAAGCTAGGTTAAAAAAAAATAAAAAATTATATATATATATATATATATATATATATATATATATATATATATATATATAATGAAAATACAGCCAAACACCAAGTCTACTTACTACAATCTATAAAGGGACACTATTGGCACCCAGACCACGTCATCTCACTGAAATGGTCTGGGTGTAATGTCCCTGTTCCCTTAACCCTGCAATGTAAAACTTTGCAGCAATTCTTAACACTATAGTGTTCCAATTGGCTCAACAAAGGTAACACTAATCAGTTCACGTCAGATTAAATTTGCAACTCAACTGTTTTAAAACTGATTAAGCACATTTCTATAGATTTGGTCAATTTTAACAGTAAACCAGACAGCAAGCAAATGAGCAAGGCAATTTTCTTTAAAAATTCTTTATTTTTCTTGTGCAAAGGAGAAAAACAATCTGCTTGTAGCACCCCGACAGGGTTGACAAGCAATGCATTTACTTACAGGAATAAACAGTGTCATGGCATGAGATAGTCACACACATTTTTATAACCAAAAAATAAACAGGCTGATTTGTAATTCACTTGTACATTATAGAGAAAGCTCGATAGGTATGTTGGGCATTTCAAGTGAACTGAAGCATGTTGGCATTTTAGCTACACGATTGATGTATAGTACGCTATTTCTTCTGGATGGGTTTACACGTTTAGTTAGTTAAGTACGGAGTGCCACCTAGGGTAGACGTGTTTGTGCGGGGAATGTGTCATCGACCCGGTGGTGCAGGTTTAAGGAGGGTTTTTATGCCTCCCATAGGAACTGTTATAGTTAAAATACACGTTTTGTTAGTTCCCTGGAGTCTCCCCATAGGCGTGTGTCTACTTGTGGTGTAGGCCACTGTAGGTATACCGGTCTACGTGGGCATTCCTGTGCTGAGTCAGGCAGGGTATGTTAAGCTCGAGTATTTGGCCCAAAGGGCCGGGAGTCAAACATGAGAAGCTTGATATGATCGATTGTTGGCATGGGCTCAAGGTGATATTAGTTATAGGCGGTGTGGTCACCTTGTTGGGATCGGCTAGGGGGTCGTGACCCTTACATGAGGTCTATCACCTGTGCTCATGACTGCTTGGGTTACCACCGCTTGTGGTATGTCCAAAGAGGGCTGAGGCTATGCTCTTTTGAGCGGGTAAAGTAAGTTGCCCCCATTTGGGCTATTCCCTTAGAGAGGTTGCAATCTACGGTGCGGAAAGTGAAAAACATAACTGAAATACAGAAATAAAATATACGTGCTGAACATTGTTAAACTTGTACATATTATAACAGTAAGGATATTAACTGCCTTTTCTGGTTTGTCTGGAGTTAGGTATCCAGGCGAGCCTCCGTTTGGCCTCGCGGGACGAAGTGGACCACATGGCTTGGGTCCCAGGTTGGGGTCGTACGTGTAGTCTCTGGGGGCAGTGTAGGTAGTCCCAAAGCTTGCAAGAAGACGGGAGCCTTAGTGATGTTGGAGAGCCGGCAGACTATTCCTTGGTGCTTCACTATGAGGGACCTTGGAGAGTCCCAGTTGTAAGCCACTCCAGAGTCTTTCAGCTGGTTTGTCACTGCCTTGAGGGATCTGCGCCATTGGAGTGTGGACCTAGTGAGGTCGTGATAGAATATGAGTTGAAAATTCTCAAATGAGTATGGGTCTTGTCTCGGATTGCTGTCATGACATGTCCCTTATCTTGAAAGTAGGAGCAGCGCACCACTACATCACTTGTCACGTTCGGGGGTGCATTAGGGGACTTTGGGAGGTGATATGTCCCGTCAAGGGCTATCTTCTTTGCCTGTGGCTGGGGTAGTATAGTCGCAAACAGCCGTCTTAGGTAGAGAGGTAGTTCTTCTAAAGGGATATCATCAGGTATGCCGCGAATCTTAATATGTTGTCGTCTGTAGCGGTCTTCCATGGCAGTCATTTGTGTGCTAAGTGCCTGTTGAGAGGCCTTATGGTGTCTTGCATCGCAGACACGTCCTTGCGTATGTCCAGAATGTCCTCTTCTGAGGCATGGACCCTGTCAGTTACTGCCTGAACCTCCTCTATCACTGCATTGTCTGATTCCAGCCACTTTCTGATTTCTAGCATGAAGGTTTGAATGTCCTGCTTGATAGCCAGCTCGGGCCCTCCCTGGGTCAGCAAGGGTGCTGTAGTCACTGTGAGCTCTGCTCCAGTGGTGAGCTGTGGTGGTGGGGCTGCTGGTTCTGCGGGGCTTGGTGCAGGGGATACCTCCTTGTTCTTTGCGGTCGCCATTTTGTGTTGCGGTTGTTGCTGCAGGAGCGTTCCGATGTCTCTCGTGTCGGACACCACGGCTGCTGCAGGTCTCTGGGATCGATGTCCCATGGTGTTCCCACTGTCTGTGGGGTCAGTGCGTGCGGTTTGGTCTGCCAGAATGGGTCTCCCTCCAGAGATCTGCCGAGGAGGTACTCAAGTCTGGAGATGGAGGGCGCGTGGTAGGCCTCAGACCTGCGTTTCGGTCCCTTCGTCCGTGGGGAGTGGAAGAAGGGCATCGGTCTATGTAGCAGGGTATCTAGGCGTGTTGTCACTGTGTGCCGCTGTGTAGTTGCTTATTTTCTCGTTTTTATATTGATTTTTGTGCCGTTCTTGCTGGAGCTCAGCGAGATGGCGTCTGCTCTGCTCGAGTGCTGGCTCCGCCCTCCTCCCCCGCAAGGCAAATATTTACCACACATTTTAGTACAAGGACCATGCTGGTCATTACGCTATAATATGCCTGTGGCTGCCATTTAGGTTTTCACATAGAAAGTGAAAGCCCATTCCAGAGACTTAGGAGTTTTACAGCTAGGGCATACCATGCATACACGGACTGCACAATATCTTGCACAGGTCATGGGAAACTGATTTTATACCAGAGCAATAAAACTCACAGTAAGGCATCTTTAAACTACAATAAATATGTTTAAAAATCAGTCTGTTTAAATACGACACATTGTTCTTATTCTTAATTACATACATTGTTATTAGTAAGTCACTTGAAAACTCAGAACAGCCCCGCCTCTGGCCACACCCCTAAAACTAAAGAGTCTCTATCTATTTGAAATGTTGGAAGGTATGCTATAAACAACACCTCACCCCCTAAAAAAATAAATAAAAAAAAATTAAAATACATATGCCTCGTCACAATAAATGTAATTGCCAAGTACTTGCCTAAACAATCAACATATGTTAAAGCAGGGGTTCTCAATGTTAGTCATCAGGACCCCCTACCAGTCCAGGGTTTAGGGATTACCTGGGTGTGTCTAAGGTGTTTAAAAAAAAAAAAAAAAAAACACACCTTAGAGTCTAAGGTGTTTTTTTCCATTTTTTCTTAACACCTGAGACACACCCAGGTAATCCCCAAATCCTGGACTGGTAGGGGGTCCTGAGGACTGGGTTGAGAACCCCTGTGTTAAAGGAACACTATTGTGTAATACAAACATCATCTATTCCTGACACTATAGTTGTAAAAGTGACGTTAAGGTCCCCAACCCCCCTGTCATAGGAGTAAATGGTGAGTTTACTTGTCGCTGCTGGCTGAAAAGGCAGTGTTTACATGAAAGCCTGCAAGACAGGCTGTAGACACCAGAACAACTACATGAAACTATAGTTGTTCTGGTGATTATAATGTCCCTTCAAATAAAATTAGGTAATTTATGACAATAATCCATTAACAACTAAACAAAACGCTAAGATCTGTAAAAAAGGATTAAAACACACGCAAAGACTAGTTTTGGGGTAGTATCTATAGTCACTTCCTAGATTTTATTTCATTCAAGACCACAGTGAGCCAGAAATATGGACAACTGCGTAAGGTTAGATCTATGCATCTGATTTACTGGTGGAGTGAGCACATGCACAGACAATAATGCAACCCATTTTAATATACCTTTAACTTCTTTAACTCCTGAAGAATCATGTAATCTGGCATATTGTCAAAAAGTCCATCAGTAGCAGTCAAAATAATATCGCCCAGTTGCACATCAAATGTACTACTGTCAGCAGCATCGGGACTAAAGAAAAAAGAAAGTAAACCAAGTTCACTGAAAATACAAAAGGCTTTTTTTGTAGTCATTTAATATCAAATAGTCTGCACAGCTTTTTTTTTTTTTTTAGTCCAGCTCAAAGTGAGTTAGCACACAGGGAAAACAAGTTTTACAGATACATTATCTAAAAGCAGCAAGCAAAAGAATAGGTATAATCGAATATAATCAGGGCTTTAACATTTGCTATTGTGTGTCAAAGTTCAGTGTAATATTCAGATCCCTTGTGAATGTGTATCATATGCCAGTATCTACTGCTCATCTACTATTTAAAATTGTTTTTTTTTTTTGTTTGTTTTTTTACAAAAGGCACATCCTATGAGAAAACTCATTTCCATACACTCCCACCAAGCAGCTTGCTGCCAAGTATTTTCTTAAAGTAGCACTGTCATTGTCAGGGGACTTTGCGTGAATTCCAAAGACCTCTGACAGTGATATTACTGCTAGGTATTGCGTAGCGGCAGGCAAAGGCGAATTTTACTTACCTAAACCTATCCCTCGCGGGCGCAGCCATCCTCTTCCAGTGGGTCCTCTTCTACCCCTGGAGATTCAACTGCCAAGAGCCACCGACAATGCTGTATTCTCGTGCATGCACAAGAGGACATCATAAAGTTCTTTTGAAGATTCCGCAAGACCCTTCTTAGACAGAGCTAATTATTTATCTGCAGCCATCACTGGTGACGCAGGGGGATTGACACTTCTTGATGGTGGTATTTCCACTAAGTGTCTAGAATTGTTAAGTGGAGGAAAAATACTGAAAAATCCCTTCTTTGACTCAGTAAATCTCTTGACTGTCAATATGTGTATTTCATAAAGATTATAAAGTGCAGCTGTAAAAATAAACTCAGCAGACACACTCCACCCCCTCAACACCAGCTTTGCACCATTAGGTTCTTTAATTCCTTTTTTTGCTTCAGTAACAGCCATATGTAATGCCTGCAATGGTCTCAAGGAGAGGTTAATCCATTGGCGTTCTATTGTCGAATGACAACTCTCAGAACCCATGTGTTCATAAAACACTGCGGTGAGGGGATTTGTTCAGCATTGACATTTTATGGCAAAATAGAATTATGACTGGCTTGTTCACTTTTTTGGTCTGGACACAGCTCACTGCAGAACATGTGAAGTCTGGGTATTTAATTTCATGCATGTTTTAAATAATCATGAGATGATTGAAACTAACAGTGAGGGATAAATTGTTTATGCTATTAAACTCTGCTTGTCAGGAATCCATGACATACGATCAGTCCCTATATACTAGCATGAGAAGCTCCTGACTAGAGCGTCTAACTGGTATGGGAGGCGTCTGCAGACTGCTGCAGACAGACCCACAAGTGGATTCTGTTGATCTTTTAATTTATATTTCTTTTAAAGAAAAAGAAATGGAATTGGGCAACTCTGGCAAGTTCCTATGCAAATGTTTATGTTGGTATATTACTAGTAACTTCAGAGTAAACTCTATAAACTGATACTAGGCATGATGTTGAAAGACAAATAAAAATAAAAACTAAAGTTATGAAAAATAAAAGGCATTATGTATGAGGTAAATATCAGGGGACAGAAGTATTTTTTGGGAAAGAGAGACCACCAAAAGGGGGAGGGAGAGTACAGAACAACAGAACAGGTAAGCTACGCTAGAAGGAGGGAGCAGCGCAAGAACAAAATATTTAAATCTCTTGATTTTAATTTAATGGCACAAGCCCTTTCCAAATACGGTTACTCACACAGCTATCTTCACTGTAATCTATATGGATGGTCACAAACTGCCATGCCATTGATTTAACTAGTTTGTCCTCTAAGTGATACCCATCCCTGTCTTCAAGGCACACCCAAATATGCAGGTTTTGTGGCTTGCCTCACCCAGTGAACGCAGGCAGTATCTAAAAAGTTGGCTATACACACACCAACAATGACATGTTTTAATAGATGCAGGAACCCCGCATTTAGCTTTTCCTTGATTAGTGGTCTGGGGAATAGTTGATTATTTTTAAGGCTGACATTCCACGCATAATCTTGTATCTCAGTTTAGCTCTACATCCTATGAGCTCCAACTCATGCACCCAGGGTTTTCTAGAATATTTAGTATAGCTTAAGGAACAGTAACTACGAGTAGTTCTTGATTTTAAATGTACTGGCGACCACTGATATGCATGTCTGTTTACAAGCTTTTGATGACAGTGGGTTGTCTCTGTGCCATCACGTGTTTATATACACAAAGATTAGCGCCAATCAAAGAATAGTTTCTTCGGTGCATATAACCACATAATACAATGCTGGATCCAAATAATGACACATACAGCTGAGGGGAAAAACAAAACAATTTAGTTGCACCCTAGGTGCCAAGACTGTCAAAGAAAGTCTTACATACATAGATAACCAATGCCCCAATCAAGTAAACAGAGGCACATGTACCTGTCACTGAGAACAACACCCTCTGCTTCTGGAGGTGCTATAGACAGTTGGAACGGAGTGTTGAAATAATGCTGCTGTTCATCTGATCGGTGAACAACTTCACCTGCTCGAACCACAAGAAAACCAGAATCACCTAAATTTGCTGTGTGTAAACGATGACTTGTTCTGTCCAAAACCACTAGACAAGCAGTGCTGCTTCCTTAAAAAAAGACAGGAAAAGAAAGTATAAGTTAACACCAAGGCAGAGTGTGCAAACAATACACACACACACACATATATATCTATATCGAATGACAATTCTATTCTATAAACAAAAGCTGGAAATTACATAATTTTAAAACACAAAATTGTTTTACCCCACCAGCTTACGACAGAACTGAAGAGTTCACCTGCGCTGCTGAAAACACACGTTAACCATTTAGAAAAATTATAAATTATAAACCATTCAGCAATATTAGGGCATTGCTTTACAAACTTAAGATTTTAGCAAAGAACCTACCAAAACATTGTGGGAGTTGTAGTTCTACCACATCTGGGGATGTAACGATTGGGCAGCCCTGCTGTAGAGTTGGGAATGCAAACCTATATCCCCAACACTACAGTGTCCTAGTGCCGGAGTAGTTTAGCAAAGAGGAGCATTGGGGACTGATGCGCAGGCAAGGTGAACATGCATCCAAAGGTTTCTCATAGGAAAGCATTGAATTCAGCACTTTCTTTTGAGCTGCATCTGGTCTCATTGTAGAGAAAGCACCTCTAGTGGCTGTGAGGAAGACAACCGTTAGAGGTGTGTAAAGGACCACTCTAGGCACCCAGACCACTTCAGCTTAATGAAGTGGTCTGGGTGCCAGGTCCAGCTAGGGTTAACCCATTTTTAAATAAACATAGCAGTTTCAGAGAAACTGCTATGTTTATCAATGGGTTAAGCCTTCCCCTATTTCCTCTAGTGGCTGTTTCATTGACAGCCACTAGAGGCGCTTGCGTGCTTCTCACTGTGATTTTCACAGTGAGAGCACGCCAGCGTCCATAGGAAAGCATTGATAATGCTTTCCTATGTGACCGGCTGAATGCGCGCGCAGCTCTTGCCGCGCGTGCGCATTCAGCCGGCGGGGCGTAACGGAGGCGGAGAGGAGGAGGAGAGCTCTCCGCCCAGCGCTGGAAAAAGGTAAGTTTTTACCCCTTTCCTCCTTCCAGAGCCGGGCGGGAGGGGGTCCCTGAGGGTGGGGGCACCCTCAGGGCACTATAGTGCCAGGAAAACAAGTATGTTTTCCTGGCACTATAGTGGTCCTTTAACTGCAATGTTTTACACATTGCATGGAAAAAATTACACGGCCACTGCACATAAATCACTTTATTGAGATGAAGTGGCCTGGATGACTTTAGTGGACTGTTAAATTGACACCGTAAGCACACCAAAACATACCTTAATCAAGTAGTTTTTGCCCAAAGATTCTCCCAATTTTTTCTGGCAAAGTAATATTTTGGCTATGCTTACATTCGTCTGAAAATATGTCTTTAGTGGCCGTCATGACTGACAGACATTAGAAGTGCTTCCTCATTTTTGAAGATTTTAAGGTTTTCTTAAAAAGGCATCTATTGCTTCTCTTAGATAGGAACTGAATTTAATGCTCCTCTAGAATCTCTGGATTGGTGGAGCGCAATCATTTCCAGACATACTCCCTGTAAGTTCAATGTCAATGGATTGAACAGAATGTCAGAGTTAATGGCTTCACTGGAGGCAAATCGGCTGCAGAAAAGACATGATCCCAGCACTGGATTAAAGGCAAGTTTACCAGCTGTTACCAATAACTAAGACATACACAAACATTAGCTACTTTATTACAGCTAGACACATTTACATCCCATCCTACAGTTCAACACACTTTCTATTTTTTTATTTTTTTTCATTGAAGAAATGCTTTTATTCACATCAGTTTGCACACATTTGCAGTTGGAAATGCTAACATATTACAGCATAGACTGGTATACAATAGTATTACAGTAGTACAATGCATTAAGGTTAATCGCAACTGCAATAATATGGTTGCAGAACGTAAAAATAACACATCAATAGAAGTAAACTACGAAGATCGCATCAAGCTTACTGATCTTTTCCCTCTTGCACTCCAATGAGTGGGGGCAGTAGGTTCCCTTCTGTATTATGAATAGATTCCACCTAAAAACCCATGGGTATATATACACATTTATTAAAGCCCCTTTGCAATAAAGTTATAAAATAAGCTTCCCTTCACTGAGTGCATGAAAACACTGAGGGGAAAAAAAAAAAAAAACCTTTATATAATGCCAGGACTCTGTCACATATTATACCATATATCAATAAGGAGGTCTCACATACAAGTGCAGGATTACTTTGGAACATGATCAGGAACAGGTTGTGTACATTTATATGGAAAACCCAGTATAAATAACACAGAACATTTAATGATCATCTCCTAGCCTAAGAAAGCAATAAAATTGTCTCTGAAGCATCAACACTTTAGTGGTGAGTGACCTTTCAAATTACATTTGGAACATCTACTCCACCACAAGATTTCTGATTTGCAGATATAATTCAGCCCAATGTCACCTTCTGGATTGGTGAACTAGTTTATATTACAGGGAATTGATCGTTTCAAAGTAAAATACTTCCATTAGTTGTGGATGGGCAAAAAAGACCAGGAGGTTTTTGGTCAATTAAATACTGGTCTTTGCCACAGCACAGAGCAAAGCATATGTTCTGTTTAACTTAACATATTCAGTAAAGTCAAATAAAACCTATTTACCTACAAATACTATACTAGGCAATGTATTACCTTGCTTCTTGCATACCTGAACAAAGGGCCGGCCAAAACTATTAGGCTGTGACTGTACATATTTTGTTTGTTTGATTTTGGTACTTTTATTCCCTTATCATGCTCAATGTTTCACATGGGTCTGCAGGTTCATCTGGCCTAGGTACTGATACACTCCCAATCCTACCATGCATTTCTCTACTCACCTGAGCATTTAGGTGACCCAGTTTTGCATACAAATATGCATTTCTATCAATCCCACTTCATTGTAATTTATGATTTTCTATATAGTGCTTCCCTGTGCCTGTTTAAGCTCATATCAAGTCTCCGTTTGTCCCTAACTTAGCCTTCCACATGTTAGAGGAAGAGGTGGGCAATCACTGAGTTCTCTTACTCAACTCCCCCCTTTCCCCCACCTCGATATTTTCTGCTTAATTATTCCACAAAGTGACAGCATAGCATGACACCATACTTAATCACTTGCAGCCATGCTTATTAAGGTATTCCATACCCTGCTCACCTCCTGAGCAATAGGTATGCTATTCCCACACTAGGTAAGTTTTCCACAATACCCCCGCCTTATCCACTCACTCAATATTCAAGTGAGTGTTCTGTTAACCTACAGTTTTAAGGCGGGCTCTACTAAACCACACACAAACATCTGCGTATACACGTGGTCCTTACTTTACGACCTACCGGTTTTACGACTGCTCGCACTTTCGACCAGATCTCTAGCGTGGCGATTCAAGGGAATCCCCACGTTAGAGAGCTAGTCTATGTTCGGGGGAACAGTTTCACTGTTCACTAAACAGCAATTTCAAAGAACGGAAGAGTTTTTAAAACTTTTTTTTTTTTAAACACCTACACTAGACAAAAATAATGGGGGCTTAGTTACATTGTATAAGCCTGCCACAACACTAATGTATGCAATTCATTGTTTCTGTTTCTCTTGTTTTCGCTCTACTTTTCTCTACTAGAGTAGAGTGAATATTTACTGACAGGGAGCCAACACTAAGGAATGCTGTCACAATTTGTAGGTATATACAGCAGCGATGATTTCTACATTTAAAGGAACACTATAGAAACCTGTATTAATTTCCTTACATTTTCGTATGTTGCAATTTACCCAATAAAACAAATTAAAATAAAAAAACTGTATTCCTAATGCTACAGTGCACCTGTCTATGTACAGGTGTCCCCCCCACCATGCCTAATAAAAATGTATTTAAAAAAAATAAAAAATAAAAAAATAAAAAAGAGCTTTACTTTTTCCAGCTGCTCACCTCTCGTCATGATGGAAGCATTCGACTCCTGTGACTTTGGTTCAATCCAGCGTGGATTGGCAGAGAGCATCGGCTGACCACTCTCAGCCAATCAGCAGCGCCTCTACCTGACTGCTGCAGGGATTTGAGATCGGAGTTGGAGGCTCACACTGGGGTCGAGAACTATTTAACCCCTGTAAGAAGGTGCCCGGGGGCCTCCTGACACTATAACAACTTCATTCAGATGAAGTTGATATGGTGCTTACATTGGCCCTTTAACTATAGATCATTACTTTCTTGAAAAATGAATGTAGTGCTTACCTAATAAAGGTACTTTGTTCTGAAGCAGTTCACAGTAACTTGAGGTGAGTATTCCCACTGGGTTGGTTGGCACAAATCTTCCTTCTTTGACCAAACGCTCACAAGTCCGCATAAGGGTCTCTGAGAACTGAGAAGGGTCAACGCCATAATCTCTCCATCCTCCGACACCATCAGCCACACCTGAAAGTAGTAACACGTATGTTCAAAAAAGATGCACACGATAAAACCTAGTAAAACAGATGTACTGTCCTCAATTCTTAAAAAATACATTTCTATAAAGACGCAACATATCAGCTCAAGGGTTATTTATATATACTTATCTTGTTTTCTGCATTATAGCCAACCTCTTTAGACATGTTCTGTCTTGACTGCTATGTAAAGACAGTGATCAGACAGAACTGAACTTTTGGGACAACTTTCAGAGGGCAGCCCAGGGAGACATACTAGTATAATACCACATAACTGGTTGTCTTGCCCCCATTCATGTCCGTGCTATACACTGCAGGCCACGCCTTGCTCATCAGTTATGTTTAACAATCAAATTCAGTGTTATGAGATGCTGTGCATCCCTCAATGTTGCAGGCAGCTAGAGAGCTCTGGACAACTTTGAAAAGTCACATAGACCTTGCACAGCTACATTCCCTTTGCTTATTTCCTATTTGTAGGCTCACATAGGTGAATAGAAACCCTAAATTCTGGGCAGCATCCCACTTGTATTGGCTACAATACATTCCGGCAGGTACCAGTTTTAGTACAGACTGAAATCTGAAAAGCTGGGTATTGCTACAATAGCAGCAAACATGAGCATTATATTCATTTTGCTATTTTTACAATGTGATGGGTAATAGAGTACTGATTGCAGAAAGAAATGATAGGTTATTGGGACTGAAAGTTTATTTTTCATTTAGAATTATGCTATTTTCATTCTCTTACTATGATCAGCACTTGAAAAGCAGAATAAGTAATGATTCCCATAAAGAATAAACATTGCGCTCTGATTGTATCTCAATCAGCTTCCAAAACGGAAACTGGTTGGCATTTCAAACAGAATTGAAGGACTATCAGCCAAAGTGCTGCTCTGCAGAAGATTAAATAAAAATATTGGGGTGGGGGTGGCGGAGAGACTGTATTTAACATATTGATATTACAACGAAAGGACAGATAGGAGTTCTATATTAAATAAGGGAGGGAGCATATTTACAGAAAAAGAAAAAAGTTAACTGTTCGTGCTATATTGTAAAAGAGTACCCAAGGTTTTAAAGTGTACCCTTACAAACACTTAAAACACAATAGTGAAAAAAAGAAGAAAAAAACCAAAGGTACAAAGCAGTGTGAATCACCAAAGTGACAAAGAATAATAAATATATACCAACTGGGTATGTAGAATATCACCAGAGATATTCGAAAATGCAAATTATATAGTGCGGGTTGCTGTTGCTTGCCGGTATGTCGGTAGAGGAACCGCCAGTGAATTGTGGCTTATCGGCAATGAATCGTGGCACAGCGGTTCGCTGCGCTTCATCACCTGCGTTAGCAGAGCAGTAGATGGACAAAATACTTATTATGCAATAGTGCCGCACTTTCGGCAATGCTGCGGTGCTCATACCACAAAGCGATTCGTTAGCAGCAAAGCGTCGAAGTAGGCAGCAGATAAACCGGCTCGTGTCGGTGTCAAAGCCTAAAGCGTCGTTTGGGAGATTAGTGTAGTAATGATGAGAATGAGTAATTCTTATATTCAATATTGAGTTGAGCAAATATTTCAGTAAGTAAATTACCAAAGACGAAATAGCGAGTTTTGAACAGTTAAGCCGGTAGTTGCTGCTGAATTAATATATATTGTCTTCAATAATAAGCTCAGTAGTATCGTACTAATATATAATAGAGATGAAGAGTATCAACATTGGAGATGTTATCAATGATATATATATATATTTTTTAATACTTATATTGTGTATCATTGATAACATCTCCAATGTTGATACTCTTCATCTCTATGGTGATTATTGTATTATATGTGTAATTTTGGTCCTTTGCTAAACTGTTGTGGAACCAATATATCAGTGGGGAGAGTGTTTTCAGCTGTAACTGCTAGTAACATTCAAGAATCGCTGTTTCACATCGGGTCCGTGAAACCACAGTGGAACGCACGCCGACACCGGCGAATGATTTATCAATCCAATGGTGGATATAAAAGAGGATTCTCATTCTCATCAGTACTACATATCCCTGAGGAAGTCCCAAGACGGACGAAACGCGTTGGAACTTTTTATTTTATTTTAATTGTTTATCTGTACTCTTCATTTTTTGCAGCTGTCTGAAATCCTGTGCTGCTATTGGATCAGCTATTGCATGTGGATACCACCTGGTGTGGAGACACCTGGTTTTAACTTGCAACATTGTAAGTGCAACTTATTTATAATAAATTGTTACATTTTGTCCCATCTACACTATCTATTTTTCTCTTTACTTGGAGTGAATGAGACGATCTACTATAAGATCATCGCTGGAGGTTCTCCATATTGCTACAGTTCCCTATTTATTGTGGGAGATACGCCTGATTTCACCTAATTTTGTGAGTTCTCTACCATTTTGCTTCTATTTAGAAGTAACAATATTACACTATATAGTTTTTATGTATTGTCAGATATATCTCTGAGACAGAATATTTCTACATACCCAGTTGGTATATATTTATTATTCTTTGTCACTTTGGTGATTCACAATGCTTTGTACCTTTGGTTTTTTTCTTCTTTTTTTCACTCAGGGAGCATATTTAGCCAGGACAGTTCCATTAAAAAGGGAAACCAACATAATATAAACAAACATTTATACGTTGTCCACATTTGATTCCTAGAGATTTTCAGACAGGGGTTAAATATAAAAGGAATACTAACAGTATCCAGACAACTGAACCTCAATTAAGTGGTCTGGGTGCAGAAGCCCTTTGTTTTTTTCAAAGAAACTGCTATGATTACATATGGGTTAATCCAGCCTCTAGTGGCTGTCTCATTGACAGCCGCTTGAGGCGCTTCTCACTGTGAAAAATCACAGTGAGAAAACGCTGACGTCCATAGGAAAGCATTGAGTAATGCTTTCCTATGGACTAATTGAATGCGCACGGCTCTTGCCGCGCATGCAGTGCTGACATCGGAGAAGGGAGGAATTTTCTCCCGGCGCTGGAGAAAGGTAAGTGATTAACCCCTTCCTCCCCCTTCAGCCCAGCGGGAGTGGGACCCAAAGACCCTATAGTGCCAGGAAAACGAGTTTGTTTTCCTGGCACTATAGTGGTCCTTTAAGGCAATTAAAACTCACCTTTTCTACTAGTGAAGGGATGGTCCTGGTTTTTGTAATTCATAAGCAAGTACTATAATAAACTAAACGTGAGAGCTTGTAGCAGAGTACTTGCTTATGAATTACAAAAACCAGGACCATCACTTCCCCAGTAGAAAAGGTGAGTTTTAATTGCCTTAAATCCTTTACCTGCTGGTCTTACAACAGCCTCCCGGGCTGATGTCACATAGACTGATGATCTCACCCCAACAAATGATTCCCAATATGGAACACTGCTAGAGCTGTCTCAACCGCTCCAGATGGTTATGTAAGTTTGTTTTTTGTATCTTGAATGGCTGTGATTTTTTCCACCCCTTTATACTGTGCCTATAAATTTTTAGAGAAAAATAAAATTCTATTTAGGATATACAAACAAAAAAATATCCAAAACAGAGCCAGCATTTAACACTTTGGTAGTCTTCTTCGTGTGCATTCAAGAGGAACAATTTCCATAGCTAGCAGCCCTCCACCAAATATGGGAATACCGAGTTTTAAGGAGTCTTATTTAGAAAAACCTCACATCACTAAATAGATCAGCATTCAAAAAGAAGAATTCAACACTATATGTGAACTACACTTCTTAAGCGACCCCAACTTATGACAGTCTGACAGGCTGAATTAAATAAATTAGCTTTCATGGTCTTTAAAATATATGTAGCCAAAATTGACCACTTGTTATCACTGTCCTATCAGCATCAGACATTGTATGCATCTGTGTCAGTCTCTTTAAAGGGACACTACAGCTTAATGTAGTGGTTCTGGTGTCTACAGCCTGACCCCGCAGGTTTTTCAGTGTAAATGCTGCCTTTTCACTCAAACGACCACTAGAGGAGCTTCCTAGTCCAGTGCTTCGCAGTGTGCAGTACATACATCAGCTTGTTATTCAGAAGTACCACACATGTGGCAGGTCAAAAAAAATAAAAATAAAAAAAATAAAAATCAATTACCATTAGAAAAAAATACTTCTAATTAACAGAACTAATGGCTTATGGCTTGTAGAAAATAATGTTATTCATTTGATCAAAATTTACAAACACATTGACCCCCCCTTGTCCAGATGTCCTCCAAGTCTGCCTTTGGAGAAGAGAATTTCCCTTGACCGGTTTGTGAACCCTGTAATCTGATAGTAACCTGGTGCCAGACTCAACACTGCCTAGGGATTAATCAGATTCAACCCAAAAATAGATAAATCTTTTCACATTAGTTCCCTTAAACTATTACAGCAAACACAAAGGTATTCTGCCATTTTATTTTATATTTTTAACATAGTTTGTGCAATGTCTAACAAAAGGAATATATGGGACATGGACTGGCATTTGAGTGGTTATTTACTGTTCAAAGAATGGTGACACTACATATTGAATTGAGAAATCTAAACCAAAACAGTTAAAAGCAGCACTCAAATCGCCATGCCCACTTTAGATCAGGGGTTCTCAACCCAGTCCTCAGGACCCCCTACCAGTCCAGGATTTGGGGATTACCTGGGTGTGTCTCAGGTATTTAGAAAAAGGGGAAAAAAAACACCTTAGACTCTAATGTTTTTTTCTAAACACCTTAGACACACCCAGGTAATCCCTAAACCCTGGACTGGTAGGGGGTCCTGAGGACTAACGTTGAGAACCCCTGCTTTAGATGGTCTGAAAAGGTACCTGGGTCCTTCCAGTCACAGATTCTCCTTTCGCTCTTTTCCAGCAACACCTGGATAGCCCTGCTACAGAGCTAAACAGGGCTATCTGGTTACGTATATTGACTACAGGGCTAAGCACGGCAATGCAAATCAGCACTCCGTGTCTGAAAGTACAAGCTGAGAACCATTATAATTACAGGTTTTATGTGATTTTACTTGCATACTTTGTGTGGTTATACTTTTATAATGGTGAATGATAATTGCCCTGATTTTGTACTTTTACATAGGAGTGTAATTTAAATAAACTATCCATCTAATTTTTTTATTCTAATTTTTATTGAGGCATATAGCTTAAAATCACAGGATTGTACAGTACTGACGTGATTTTTCAGACAAACCATGAGTAGACAGGCTTCATAGTACAATTCAGTAGCTAAGCATCAATTGCACAGGCTAAGTGATGTATCTAGCAACTCAGGATATTACATTGTCACTTACAGGTGATAGAGGCCTCATTTCATGGTAAGTGGAAGTAAAATAAAAGTGACCACGATTGTATATGTTACTAAACATAGGATCTCAATAACAGAAAACAAGAGATAGCTTAACGTGTTTTACAAAACCACTGGCTATCACAAGAGATAACGAACTAGGAATAGGAACATGAGTAGGCAAAATAAACACAAAGCTTGGTTCAGTGTCTAGGCATTACATGAACCAAGTGCTGCCTCTCTCCCCAGAGTCTGCTCCTAAGGAGTGTACCCCAGCTAGACTCACATATGTCTTAGAATGATGATTAGTGAGTGGTGAGAGACCTGTGAGATAACAGGAATTAAACACGAAGATAAGAGTGACAGGCTTATGCTAATCTTCTTGCAGGGTAAGTAGACTGCTACTGGGTAAGTGACAGATACCATAACAGATGCTAAACTAACAGGAAAATAAAAGAAGAAAGAATATTCATGCTAAACATGTGACACAGGGGCAAGCTTGTACCGCTGAGGCCCTATGCATGTATACACTTTGCAAAGAAGGGTGACAGCTGCTGCAAGAGCAGTGTCTTGGCCTCTGGTAGATATGCCAGCTCACAGGGGGATGCAGTCAGCCAATGCCTTGACTTGGTTAGTATTCCAGTCGGTCTAAGAGGGCCGCACAGCGGAGCCCGGGTGAGGCACCCTTCCAGCCCCCGACCCGTTTGAGAACCGGTTCCACTTTTCAACTGACCCGGTATCTTCTCAAGCCCAAGCGCCTTCGGAAGTGTTGGGGCTTGTCTGGCTTTACTCCGCCGCCCCTTCCCTCCATCACAGCAGACCAAGAGTCAGATGCCATGTGCTGCTTTCGGCTATTCAGCTTTCCCCAAAATAGGTCGAAGAGTGCCTCCAGTTTTTCTGCAGAGGATAGAGGTGAGCTTGATGGATTAGATGTTTTTGGCGCCAAGACCCGGGCCACCCATTCATGAGCATCATCCATCTTGTTTTATGTGAGGTTCAGCTTTGCACCTGGGATGTGGTAAAAGAGGCAGCTTTAATATGCAGAACCGCACAGATCTGGCCAAGCGGAGACCGGGATAACCCCCACCGGTCCAAAAGGGGAGAAGCGCGACCCAAACAGTAGACACGTCTTCAAGGCGAGTGATCGGCCACGTCCCTCGCCTCGGTATAGACAACAGGCCACAGGGATTCTCTGGGTCTCGTAAGTATGTGGACGTGCCAAGTGAGTCAGTCCAGTGGGTGCATAAGTTCTCTTTGTACAACCTTATATATTTGTAGTCACCAGGTGTGCAAAATTATTTGCTTTTTAAGCTTAAATTGTGGTCTGAACAGAGGAGCTCCCCTGGCCCACACCCCCCTAATATTTTTTTCAATTTGTATTATTGATTGCTTATAGTTTGTTGGCATACCCTTTGTTATATTTACAGTTTTCCCATTCACTCACATTTGGGTTGCTGACGATTTTTATTTTATTTATTATAACGGTCTGACAGTTCTTTCAGAATTAACAGATGGAGAGACAATTTCCCAGTTTTGTTTATTACAATCTAAATTTAATCTCCCCCCACAGGGAGATATTCATCTATCTGAGAATTAAATCCTTTTTAAATGGTGAAGCCTTAGCAAGGCCAACCCCGATACACCAGTTTCTGGCTCAACACTTAAGTAATAAAATGTTTTTCATGTTCATTAGATTTGTTAACACTCAGCAGCATAAAGAAAAAGGCCCAGCAATGATAAAATGGGAACAAGAACTTCATTTCGTTTGTGCTTGCGAAGATTAGATACAGGGCTTTCTTTTAGTAAAAAGAATTATACACAGTGTAACCATACTAGAGGTATATTACAAACGTATTTACCGCTGGTACATGGTCCCATCTAGTCTTTCACGAATGGATTCTTATGTATCTCCTGATTGCTGGTGCTGTGGCAAAGTTCAGGGTACATTTTCACATATCTGGTGGCAGTGTGAAGAGCTGTTCAGAACAAAAGAGACTCAATCTAGATTGCTAAATCTCACTTTTAACAGGGAAGTCAAATTGACAGCACCCATGCTATTATTCTATATAGGCTTCCCCCTTGGCAATAATAATGCAAAAACCCTTATGATTCATATTTGTATGGCCACGAAATTAATTGCTAGAAACTGGAGGAAAATAGACCCTCTGAGCTGTACCGAAATAAGCTTACAAGTGAATTTCCATTATAGAATGGAAAAAGGGTTCCTCCCAGACAGATTGTCCTCTGACAAATATGAAGAGGTGTGGCTTTCCTGGCATAAATTTAACACATCTTATGGTCATTAGACACAACCCCCTGCCACAAGTATGCTAGAAATGTGTTGGTAGGTTATTAGTTGGGAAACATAGGTTTGATTTTGTATGATTTGGTTAGAAGACCACCTTGGTTTCTATAAACAGAAAGCGAACTATGGACCTAGTAGTTTGTAATAATTTATATATTTACTGCCTTTGCCCTTTCTATAATGAATACAGTATGCACAACAATATGTAAAGCTGTAACCTGTGAAAGATAAAGAAATTCTAAATAAATAAAAAAATATTTTTTTTAATACGTGTGTATTATATATACATACACACACACACACATTAATTCTTTGTTTTTACTATACACTATTAAAGGGACAATATGCATCAAATCCACATCCTCTTAATATTAACCTGACAATGTAAAAAACTGCCATTTCTGAGAAATAGCAATGTTTACATTTATCAGAGAAAACGCTTCTAGGGGCTGTCAGACTGACAGCCACCAGAGGTATTTCCTAATTTAACGTTCAGTATTATAAGACAAACTCTCTGAAATATTTGAATTATTTGATTGGGGGAGTGTGGAGAAAACCAAAAGGGCACACTATGTCTCCGTTACTTCTTTATCGGGGTTATTCACTAAAATAAGAATTCAAAGTGAACTTAAAATTTTAGTTCAAAGTAGCGGATTTAGAAGAATTCTCTAAGACAACTATACTACAATTTCAGCTACTTTGTAGCAAGTGGGGATCAGTAAACTTAAAAAAGCATTACAATACATATATTAATGTTTAAGGGGACACTATAGTCACCAGAACAACTACCGCTTATTGAATTTGTTCTGGTGTGTAGAATCATTACCTTCAAGCCTTTTGCCGTAAACACTGTCTTTTCAGAGAAAATGCAGTGTTTACATTACAGCCTAGTGATAACTTCACTTGCCACTCCTCAGATGGCTGCTAGAGATCCTTCCTGTGTCATGGCTGCCTAAAATGCATCCAAACATTCAGTATCTCCTCCCTCTGCATGCATACTCTGAACTTTCCTCATAGAGATCCATTGATTCAATTCATCTCTATGAGGAGATGCTGATTGGCCAGGGCTGTGTTTGAATCATACTAGCACTGCCCCTGATCTGCCTCTTTGTCAGTCTCAGCCAATCCTATGCGGAAGCATTGTGATTGGATCAGGCTACCACTTCTGATGATGGTAGCAGACTTTTTTTTTTTTAGGCAACAATTTATGGATGCATGAGGGGCTCAGGGGGGCTAGATGGTGGTTTTAACACTATAGGGTCATGAATACAGGTTTGTGTTCCTGACCCTATAGTGATCCTTTAATGTAACAGTACTCCTTAAGAAAAACCCTACAGATTAGAAGCTAGCAGCAACATCTTTAGAAAATATGGCTTTCTTGATACTGTGGTTAGACAAGTTCTAAAGAATGGCAGATCAGGACTGTATTGGCCTGACAAAGGATACTGTATTTCCCTACAATACTGCAGAACTATTCTTGCGTTATCTAGCTATGGATATTTACATATGCCCATTTCCAAAAAAACATGAGAAGAAAATGTTGACGTATCCCTACTGGTTCAATGCTGCATGTTTTGCAATACCATACAAGAATGGGGTTTGCTTTTCCTGGAAAAAAATCAGAAGGAGAAGAATTCCCCAACCAGATGCCTAAAAATAAAATGTAACTTTACTTTACTGAGCTAGTTACCTTTCCCATGCACCACTCCAAAACAGGAGATGTACGACTATCTCAAACAAACTGTATGAAACCTATTGCAGCAGTATGATTATGGGTCATCAAAAAGCAGCACACAACTGATTAACAAGACACTTGGAATGGTACATTTAAGAGTGATGGGGAACGAATGTGCCATGCAGAAGACATAGTAGCAGTAAACCTTTCAGAGGGTTAACTTCACGTACTACAATAACTTTATTAGGACTATCAAACATTTTTCTGAATTTCAAGAGGATTAATGACTAAATGTATAAATAGTTTATACTTCGGGCAGACAAACACTGGCTATGTGTGCTGCATTTGCAAAGAAATCTTCAATGACAAGGCAGCAGTCACACTGTTGCATAAAGCATGAAATTACTCTGTGTGCAAGAACATTATGTAACTCACTATGTTTAGATTATTAGGCACATTACCATGCCAAAAAGAGAATACCACAGTAGAACATGGTACTTCAAACCTTTGTACTGTAAAATTATAAAATTAGAACTACCATATTCAATAAATACTACTACTGATAAAATATAAAGAAGTGTGTCTATATAAATACATAATTCTAAAAATAACGAAATTAATTAAGTTTTTAAAAGTGGCACTGTAATGGCTGAATCTTTTTTTTTTTTTTTTTAACTCATACACTTTATTGTCCTCCCAATCACCCCCAAATGCCTCTAGGTCCCCTATTTCACAACTTATTTTTTCTACTGCCTAATTTCTTCACCGGATTTAATGTCCTAGGCGCCTCCATCTTTGTGTTCCAGGATGACGTTTACTGCATGCCTTCATTTGCCCACACTAGCTTGCGCTGTGAAATTCCTGTGCATGTCTACTTGTAGACTTGAGCGTTTGCTTCTTTGCGAATTCCTCCAAAAGACGAATAGAAATCACTTCCAATGAACAAAGCCGAACTGTAGTTCTTCATGTGATGGTTTATCTTATTACAAGGATGGAGCTACTGGCCAGCGGCTCCCTCCTTTTAAAAAAAATATTAGTGGGGATGAGGGGAGCTGTGCTCCAAACCTTCTAAATCCCCCATGCCCCCTCACTCTAAATAGGACTACCAGATTAGTAAAAGAGGTTTAATTCTCCTTCCTGCCCCTACTCACTATGCCACGAGTAGAGGGATGTCTACTAAATAGGCAGTGGCTGCTCACGGTTGAAAAAAATAAATAAAAAAATCCTGGTTCCCAACAGGCAACAATTTATTCAGCACCATGTGGTTCCTGGGTGAATCCTGAGCAAGCGGCTCCCATGTGGCCTGTCTTAAATGGTTGACAGTGACGCTGCTACACAGCTTGTGGTTGAGACTCTGGTGCAGATCTAACAGGAAGGCCCTTACAGAGCATTCTTGAGGCGAACAAAGCAATCCACCCTGACAGCTCCAATGGAAATACTCTATCACGGAGCCTCGACTTGGAGACTCCGATCCAGATGTGGATTTATGCAGGCTCAGCGATACGCTTGCGTCCCAAGGGCCCGAGAAAACCCATCACTTTTTTTTTTTTTACACAGTTTATACGAAAAGCGATACACAGCTACAGGTACAGGAGAACTGAAACACTCCATGGCACCCACGGAGGATTTTATCATCCAGTAAACCTATCTGGACTCTGGATGTATGTTAGGGGCATAGGCTGAATGGGCTGCAGTTCTTCAGTTACCTCTTTTAGCACTAAGCTCTAGCTTCGCTGTACTTAGCCTCCCTTTCTCAGCTTGCTTCTTTTGAGCACCTATTTCAACTATATCATGCACCCTCCGTCTGCCTTAGCAACTAGTAGAGACCAGTCTATAAGCTCTTGGTGGAATTATGACCTTAAGTTTTACAGAAGTTAAACTAGCATGTTAACTATTACATATAAGCACCCCCAACTACCATGTCTTGTATTTCTTTAGTGATTAACAGTTCAGTTAATACCTTGTACTTAGCATGTTCATTACACTTAATTATAAAATTGTGCTACATCATAGAACTGCCACACAATGTACTATGACTTAATATAGATTATATCATGCAACTATTTCTATGCCACTTGTTATTCTTGTACCTGTTGTTGTGGCAGTGCAACAAAAGTAACTCAAGCACAGTGAAAATAAATAATTTTTAAAAACTGCAAGTGGGGGCTATTAAACTAAAGGGGGACACGTTTCCACTGCTCCAGAGTCCAGTGGTGGCATGCTTTACACCACTCAATCCACCACTTGGCATTGTATTTGGTCGTGTGAGGCTCTCTAAAAAGGCAGTGTTTACATTAGAAAGCCTGCAGGGACATACTACACACACCAAAAACACTACATTAAACTGTAATCGTTCTGGGGACTATAGTGTCCCTTTAATTAAGGGGTGTGTCCCAATACTTGTGTTCATATAGTGTATGCCACCAAAAGATCAATAATTAAACAAGCCCTAACAGTCTGCTATAAAGTTTCATTACACTGTTTTATTACTGTTATATCACAAACTCTTATCCCAGTCACATCGATCAAGTCTTAATTATGTTGGAGTACAAGTCTGGTAATGCAATGCAGCTTGCTGGATACTAAATTGTGATATTTGTGTAAAGCAGATGCCAGTAACTAATTAGCAGTAGATAGGAGGTGCTTTGTTTCAAGTCATACAAACTGGTGAATGTTTTTTATTTTTCTAAGGTATAAGCTCTGGGATCAAGACTTACACTCCCAATCCTCCAGGGTACAGACGTCTCATAGAAGCATAAGTAGCCAACAACAGATCAGTATTTAAAGTACTTTACACACCCAGTAAATGAACTCTATAAACAGTGAATTTCTCCAATTCGAACAGTATGATTAATATGAAGCTGCTAACTCCATAGCCAGAGGGTCAGACAAAGAATATCGAACAAATTCAAACAAGACACACCATGTGTTTAAACAGTGATACAGTAACACATGAAATCAATCACAGGTCAATGGTTACTCCAAGTAATTTAAGGACACGGCATGCCGCAATTCCCTTAGAGCAATGGCTTCTTGCAGATATGTATAACCATATACATGGGCATATTTACAAACATTACTAAGGGCAAACTGCTATTGCAAAAAAAACAAAAAATGATGGACAAAATTACATTTTCTGACAACAGCACAAAAAAACATTCACAGCAACAAACATTGGGGTGCTAAACACACAAGCTAGGAACATGTTCTTTCTAGAGATATGTAGCCAGTTTAGGGGATTATTTCTGTCAAGCAAAAACAAAACTCACATTTGATACAACAATTACATAAAGACAGTGTTAGCTAAAAGTTGTCCAATTGTAGGTTATTAGCTATGTAAATTTACAGCATGTTAACCTCAGAGCTGCTGGAGAAAACTGGTGCTCTGTGGACCCCAAATAAATTGTCAAATTGTGCTAAAACAGTCTGACAACTTACTATGCATCTGCCACTATAACAACTACAATGGCCTGAAGTTGTTTCAGAGTTTCATTCAGCAGTTAATTGTTTTTCTGCAAAAATCTAAGTTTGTATAAACAACTTGAATGAATAATCTTAAACTAGTTAATGGTATGGACAGGAAAATTCTATCAGACATTGTACTTTCATTACTTTGGTGCAGGTAATATACATATTTAAAGGGACACTATAGGCACCCAGGCTTCTTCATCTGAACTGAAGTGGACTGGGCACAGTCTCTCTGTCGTCCTTAGTCTTGCAATGTAAAACACTGCAGTTTTAGAGAAACTGCAATGTTTACATTGCATGGTTAAGACTGCCTCTAGTGGCAGTCTACTAGATTTGACATTGACTGGTAAAAGGATACTGGACGTCCTCACGCTCGGCACATCAGAGAAAATCCTATAGGAAAGCAATGAGGCAATGTGTGCATTAGGTTCCCTCTCCCCATTGGACAACATTCTCTGGAGTCAAGTAAATGAAACCCTTTATATCCTGGGGTTGGGGGACACACCAAGGGCACTATAGTGTTAGGAATATTGCTTTTTATTGCGAAGACTAATTTTCCATTAAAGGGTAAACTGTATGACTGCAATCAATTCAAATAGTTATTTTGCAAAAAAATCTTCCAAGGTTAAAAATCTGAAGGTATGAGATAAAGATTAATGAACATTAAATAACCTTCTGACAACCTTCAAAATGTGAAAGTACAATAGCCTTGTTATTTTCCAAGAATTAAGTTAAAGATTAGTAAACAATGCGTGTTGCCAATACCAAGGCACATGACACATATCAACATATCAAGCTAATTTAGACAGCTGAAGGGTAAAACTGCAGACAGAAGTTTAATTGAAGAAAAAAAAAAAAAAATGAATAAGGTTCAGAATGGTTTGGATTAGAGGCTTCATAGGCTTGGGCCAGACCTTAGGTCTACAAATAAAATTACATTTGATTAATTTGTGTTTCAAGTATCATGTACATCAGGGCTTGACAAATTTGCTTTCAATCTAGGAGCCAGCTAAAAAAGTTAGGAGCTAGTTTTTTTCCAACGATAGAAATACAATTCTTAAAAGGGACACTATACTCGCCAGAACTACTACAACTTAAAGGGACACTATAGTACCCTGAGGGTGCCCCACCCTTAGGGTCCCCCTTCAGCTACTCACCCTTTTCCCCCGCCGGGCTCCTTTACCTCTCCTCCCCCGCCGACGTCAGCATCCTTGTCTGACGTCACCAGCGCACATTCAAAGTGTCCGTAGGAAAGCATTTTTCAATGCTTTCCTATGGACACTCTGCGTGATTGAGGCATAATATGCCTCAATCATTGCCGATGCGCCTCTAGAGGCTGGCTTAACCCCAGATGTAAACATAGCAGTTTCTCAGAAACTGCTATGTTTACATCAGGCAGGGTTAACCCTCGAGGGACCTGACACCCAGACCACTTCATTGAGCTGAAGTGGTCTGGGTGACTATAGTGTCCCTTTAATGTAGTGGTCTGGTGTCTATAGATTGTCCCTGCAGGCTTTTCAAAGAAAAGACAGTGTTTACATTGCTATCTAGTAACACCTTTAGAAGCCGTCAAACAGCCACTAAAGTGTCTCCTACCTACATTCAGCGTCTTCACGCTTTGCATAGAGCTGCTGAACGTTCCCCATAGAGATGATTGATTTATTGAATATCTATGAGGAGATGCTGATTGGTAATTAATAATCTTAGCTATGGAGGCTGGCCAGCTGCAGCGAGACCAGCATAGCGTTGGAAAAAAGGTGAGTAAGAACACCATTCCCATGCAATCAGAGGGGCTGGTGACCTAAACGCACACACACACCCAGACAGATGACAACACACACACCCAGACAGACCCCGCCACACACACCTCCCGGCGTGCAAGGGTAAGGGTGGACAGCTCTGCTTAACCCCTTAAGGACACATGACATGTGTGACATGTCATGATTCCCTATAATTCCAGAAGTTAGGTCCTTAAAGGGTTAAAGGGGCAGGCTGGAGGGCTGGCTCTGAGGGAGGCAGACGGCCGCGCCGGCTTTAGGTCCAGCTTTGCTCAGTGTGGGTGGGCGGCAAGCTGTCAGTCTTTAAATGCTGCCCTTCAAGTTTGCAATTTCCCTGTGGGAGGATGGAGGGAACAGGCCAACCAATCCCAGACGCCACAGTGACCTGGCGCCTGGGATTTGTCGAGCCCTGATGTACATAAAAGACAGTATGACCTCAGTCTGCAACTAGATTTTGCAGCAAGCCTTATATAAAACCACATCTCAGACACATTTATAAACTGGAAATTTAAAGCATGTAAAATCCATTTTCACATGCCCACTGAGGCACAGAAAATAAAAATCCACTGAAAGAATTTCTAATAATTATAATTACAAATCTTTGAAAATTATTTACAAGTCTGATTTAAAGAGTAAAGTTAAATCCCTGGTTAGAAAAACACCATATTTTGCGTGGTTCTATTAACAAAATGTATGTTTGTATGTTCAAAGAACACCATAAAAAATAAATAAAAAAAAAGATAGAAATCTGATTTACTTAGAAGGGAAAAAAGTACATAATAATCTGTCCATTATGACCTTCAAGTTAACCAGATCGAACAGCTTCATTCAAAGTCTCAGTTCTGGAGAACAGCCAGTACACAGGGTGTTACCTTTCCACACCTTGACAGTGAGAGAACAGAAATGTATATAACACAAACATGTTGTGATAGTGAGAAATTACTTTGACATTGTTAATATAGTTTTATGTTGCTATTAAGAGTCAGAGGAGGAATGTAGAAAACCACTTGAGATTGTATTAAATATATTAATATATGAACTTCAAGATTAACTCAAAAATTACGGAGGATCTCAAAATTACTATTACACTCATAATCTACACAAAATATATCTCTGAAAAATAAGTCGATATAATGGAAAATGTATTTTCTATAACAATGCAGAGTTGTTGCTCTTGACTAACTTTTTTCTACATTCATTGCAGAATAAATGTAGAGTCTAGCCCCGTGCTCAGAAAATACAAACTCTACACAGAACACAAATTAATAACCCAATGCAATTTAAAATAGTTTCTTTTATGTTTTTTTTCCCCTTTATGGCCTATTGCTATTCAGTGAACCTTTGTAGTTTAAAAGGTAGACAAAAAACACATGATGGCAAACATCAGCAGCATCTGCTCAAATGTGCCTCAAAAGGGACTGTCATATCCTCCCTCCCTGGCCAAGTAAGAAGCAGGGAGGGGAGACCAAAAAAAAAAATAAAAAAATGCCCCTCCATTTTACACACACTTTGCATTCATTATATATACACACACACACACACACTACACACAGCGTGTTTGTGTAGTGTGTATATACACACTACATTCATTATACACACATTGCATCCACTACAGAGAAACACACATTGCATCCACTACACAAACATACACTTAATTCACCAAATACTCACTGCATCCACTACACACATTATTGAAAACAAAATTCTGACTGACATGTATATTTTGTGCATTTACCTTAATAAAAAAATATATATATTTGCAAAGAAATAAATAAACATGTTCAGTTAACAGTAGATTTGTGTAGAAATAGTTTATTTTTTCAAAATGGTAAATGTACTGAATATCAGTAAGTTATCGGCTATTGGCCTGAAAGTTCACAGATTATCGGTTCAAAAAAAAATAAAAATCAATATCGGTCGATCTCCACTTCAAACCCTTTTTTCCTTTATGATCCTTTTAAGGCATTCACCTTCATTTTCTCCCTCTTTGCCTTTCATCCCCTACCTTCCTCTGTAAATGTTCCCACACTTGCATAATCTGCCTAGATGCATGTATTTCCTCACTGTCACCTATGCCAAGGGTAGAATTGTTGAGATTTACCCTTTTTACTTTTCCCCTTATTCCAGGTGCTTCCTAATGACTGTGGGCAGTCACATTGTGCTCTGAATCTCTTGACTGGTATTGTAATGTTTTTCTTTTTTCAGTTCACTATGTTGTGATGTAATATTGAAAAGTCTTGATGAATAGTACAATATTGCAAAAGCTCAAAATGGCTGGCTGCCAGACACTGCCAAGATTGGACAAATCGCATTGCAATAAAGTAAACCATGAAAAAGCAGGCATATTTATTTATGCATATTTATATTTTTTTGACTACCCAGGTATCCAGACAATGCACAAAGTTTCAAATTGACAACAGTATTATATTCTATATATTTTTTTTTTTTAATAAAGTGTCAAATATACTTGAAGCTATCCAACTTAAGCCCCAAAAGGAATTGGATAGGCCTTCGGCAGACCTAGGTCACATGTGAAGATTTGTTTGTCAAATTACCGTATATATAATTTGCTACCCATGGTACATAAGTAGCAAATATGGTGGTATTAATAAAAAAATCTAAATAAATAATAATTGTAAGACCAAAATGAAGCCTCCATACATGCACATTTGATGTATCCCAAGCTTTACCTTATGCCACAAGACATATGTGCTCCAACATCTGTCTGTCCTAGACATTCTCTTACTATCACTATGTCAGGGGGTTCCCAACCCAGTCCTCAAGTAGCCCCTACCAGTCCAGGATTTAGGGATTACTGTGTTTCTAAAGTGTGTTTTTTTGTTTTGTTTTTTAGAAAAGAAAAACACCTTAGACACAACTGGGTTGTTTCTAAACCCTGGACTCGCCAATGAAACTGGGTCAGGGGCTTAAGCAGGGCTAATATGAAATTCTGAGTTTGTAACAATTTTGGCATGTAAATATAAAAACTTATCCCCCTTTACCATATGAGTCAAAGAATCTATGAGTCATTCAACAGTCATTCAACATTTTTGCACTTAATTGTGGAAAATTCTGATTCCAGGGAACAAAATACATTCACAAAGTACTGAGTCATCTATGTTCGCCATTCTATTGTTTGAATGCAGTCAGAACGAAGATGTTCTATAACTAAATATATTTAAATGTGAATTCTGTCTCATTAGGAAAGGGTGTGATTCTAACATGCTCCATCAGATATAGGCTGAGTATGCTCCTGGCTGGCTTGATGTTAGACAATTCTGATATCACTTTATGCACACACTCTCTGCTCGAGGAGAGATGTTCCTTTTCAGACAAAATTGGTATAATTTTTTTGTGAGGTCTGAGAGCATTTTGGGACGGGAACCCCCTAAGCGATCCACGTATTGAACAGCTGAGTTGTTGTCCATCCTCAGCACTAGGGAACAATTGTAAGCAAAGCTGCGAATCGCAAACAAACCGGCAATCAATTCGAGACAATTGATGTGCAGTGCACGTTTTGATGGGGACCAACGACCTCCTTTAAAGAGATCCGAACATGACGCACCTCGGCCCAGAATTGTGGCATCTGACTCTAGGATATAATCTGGTATAGAGGCGTAGAGCAGTCCGATTATGCGAGCTAAGTCACGAAGCTGGATAATTGATGAGGCTAGAATTTTCCTGATGTCTTTTTTAAAGTTCTTGATCTTGACCGAAAAGAGTTGTAGGACCGCCAAAACGAAATCTATTTGAAATCCGAGGAATTGATCAAGAACCCCAAGTTCTGTAATAGGGCCGTGGTCACAGCTGTATGAAGGCGTAGAGTGTCTAGGTCCTGAGCCCTAAGGAGGATATCGTCCAGATATATGATGGCGCGAATCTCCTGTGAGCGTAGTAAAGCCATGACCGGTTTCATCAGCTTAATGAAACACCAAAGTGCGGAAGAGAGTCCGAAGGGGAGGAATGTGACCTGCCATAAATCTTGATGCCATCTGAACTGTAGGAAACTGCATTGGGCCGGTGTTATAGGTACTGTGAGATATGCATCTTTCAAGTCGAAACGGGAGAACCAGTCTCCCTCACAGAGTAGGTCTCGCAAGAGATGGATACCCTCCATTTTAAAATGCTGGTAAACAATAAAATTGTTTAGGTCTTTCAGATTGATAACTGGTTGAAAGTCTCCCGACTGTTTCTGGACCAGAAACCTGTTGCTTATGAATCTGTGAGGGGACAGAACGTTCTATAGTACCCTTGGCAACAAGGTTGTTTAGCGCGGTCTCTATGGTCGCATTGTCCTCCTGAGACATGAGGATGGTTTGCAAAATCTACATGGAAACCTGATACGGTTTGAAGGATCCATGGATCTCGAGTTAATAGAAACCACGGTTGAAAAAAAAAAAAAAGGGTTAACCGGCCTGCAATAGGAACTTGGGAATAAGGAAAGTCGATTGCCTGTAGCAGTGCGGCGGCGGAGGGAAGCAGAGCCACATCCTCTGATGGATCCTCTAGAGGGAAAAAAAATGTTCGTGGTAGAAACGGGTATTGCCCGAATTCCATGCGTCTGATGGTCGAGGCCTGTAGCCAGTCGTTCGGCCCCTATAGCGACCAGCTCTCCCAGAAAAACGCTGGATTCTAAACACCCTGAGAAGGGACAATTGTGCCTTATTGAGGGAGGTAAACACGGATACGTATTTATTCAGGTCACGTATGAACCTGTCCCCAAATAACAGTCCGTAAGCCTCTGAACATAGTTCTTTGGCGCCTAGTTCTGCCAGTTTGACATCAATTTTATATAACACTGCTTTACGCCGTTCAATTGAAATACCTACATTGGCGTTGACCAACAGGCATAACACTCTTTGTGCGTCAGCGATTATAAAAATCTGGATAAGCAGGCCCGCAATATCCATCAGCTTCTCTTGTGTGGCTTTTAAGCCTATTCCGATGCCTTTACAGAGATCTTTACCCATTTAGTTAGAAAGGTAACCAGGAGTGGGTGAAGTTCAGGGGTGACATCCCTCAATTTGGCCCTATCCTCCTTTTCTATTGGTTTACAAACCGTAATCTGCAGTATTTGGAAATGTGATCAGGGGGTGTCCACTCAGCTGAACGAGGGTGTCTGATACAGCGAGGGTCAAAAAGAGGACAACCATTGGTATCCAGTAGGATATCGTCCTTAGTATTGTTCATAGGATCAGTTTTTTTAGAGTAGGAGGAAAGTCTCCGTAACATAGTCTGAAAAGGAAGGGTCTCCTGGGAGATCCTCATCTGGATACGCACCATATTTGTCCATCACTTGTAGGTGATAGCCAGAGGTTGAACCCTTTAACGGGTCAAATTCTTTATTGAAAGTGGGTTTGGCATGAGACAATTTAGCAGTCTTTGGGGCTTTGCCTTTGTCAGCAGAAGCACTGTCAACCTTCCAAGGGCGCTTACATGGGGCTTCGTCATGGTCAGAGACCCTGGAATATAAATATATATACATACATATATACATACACAAACAAACACACACACACACACCAGTTAAACACATAATGAACCATTTCATAAACTCCTCCACAGTTACCAAATTAAAAAAAAAAAAATCGCTTATTAGAGTATTTTGCATTAGTCGTAATAATGATCTGCCTGCAGGGCATACCTGCAAATGCATGTTTATATATACACACACACAAACACACAAAAGTAGGTTACAAATAGCTGCTTTTTTGAAGTGGTGGGTAGGCAAATTTGTGTAATGATTGCTGGCAAATGGATAATCTCTACGGACAGTGTAAAAATAATCATTGCAGCTAGTTAGTGTAGTTGAGGGGCAAAAAATGTTGTGTACATTTGATAGATATATAAGTGTTAGGCCTGGCTAATTAAAGAATTTACATTTTGAGCCCTTTTGTTGAATGTTTTTGGTCATGGTTTACAAGCACAATTTTTTTTCATTATGGTCTAAACTTCTAGCACAGCCATATTTTCATATAAAATGCTGAGCAATTTAAAACCTAACTGTTGACCCTTCCAAGGAAAGGCAATGAACAGGCTATCAATGAAGAATCCAGTCCTGTTGTCAGCAGCTTTTGAATGCTACAAAGTTTCAAGAACCAGCATAAAATGTTTGTGACCTTGAGCATGTTGCAATAAAATATGTCTGCAGCTCTACATGCAAATAAAATGAGTCACATTATTATTATAGCGCTAGTTAATGTGCCTGTGAGGTAGAATTTTATATTTTTGAGATAAAAATAAATATATAACTATTAAAGACTTTAGATTACATGGCAGATTTTCCCCCCTTAACTTCAGCATATCTGCATTATGACTTTGAGAATGTTTTTGTTGAGCTTAAAAATATAAGGCAGTGAACAAATAACTTTAGAAAAAAGGACAATTAAAATGTGAAAATCACTAATAAAATAAAAATAAAAAAAACAATGTACCAACACCTCCCCTCATCCGATACAAAAAAACATAACATTTACAAATTGTATCTTAAGTCTTCCGGTAAGATTGCATTTAAAAAGTGGAAAAAAAAAAAGTTCTATACTTTGTAAAACAAGCAGCCTTCATTTCCCCAATAAAAATAATAGCAAAACAAATTTAATGTCATGTGCGAGCACGCAACACACAAAAAAATAAAAAATAAGACAAAAACACAGATAGAAAGGCTGATTTGATGACAAGAGAGGTGAAGCTAGGTTATGGTTCGGAATATTTGCAAAGCCAGGACAGTGCACAAAATACAAACAAAAATCACAAGCCCAAAAACTGGCAGTTAGCCCCTCTGGTCCAACCACAAGATGCAACAACAAATATAGCATTATGCTCAACACAAGTCTATCCTGAAATATAAACTACATCCAGAATTAAAGGGACACTGCAGGCACCCAGACCATTTCAGCTCATTGAAGTAGTCTGGGTGCCAACACCCATCACCCCGCAAGTGTAACAATTGTAGTTTTTATAAACTGCAATAATTAACATGCGGGGTTAAGTCCTCCTCTAGTGGCTGTCACTAGAAGGATTTCCAGCTTCTTAGACTACTTTTGGTCATCTAAACAACACTGGACGTCTTCGCGCTATGCATGAGGACCTCCCGCGTCACCGGAATCCCCATAGGAAAGTATTGAATAATGCTTTCCTATAAGGAGGTCTAATGTGCGCGTGGCCATTGCCATGCATGCGCATTAGGGCTTCCCGGCCAGCGGACATCGGTTGGGGAGGAGCGTGGGTGGAGCCTGACCGCGCAGAGGGACATCGGCGCTGGATTCAAGTAAGTGTCTGAAGGTGTTTTAACCCCTTCAGCAACGTGGGATAGGGGGCACTCCAGGATTCTCTAGTGCCAGGAAAATGGGTTTGTTTTACTGGCACTGGAGAATCCCTTTAATAAACAACTGAAAACAAAATGATAAAAGTTAATTTACTTTACACAAACATTTTTTTATCTTATTATGTACTTTAAAAACCATCACTGATCTAAATCACAAGTTTATTGACAGATGGTGGGGGGAATCTATTAAGTTAGGATTTGTATTCCTAATGTCATAGTGTTCCTTTAAGGCTCATTCTCAATAGTTCTAAATTTGAGACATTTGTGCATTGGTCATGGACAGGACAGGTGCCAAACGTGTACTAAATGAAATTCAATGTGACTGTATTACTTGTGATTAAAGAAACACTGTAGCACTAGGAATTCACACCTGTATTACTAATGCTATAGTGCCCTATTGGCAAGTTTGTTTTATCCCCACCATCAAGTTAAACAATAAACAAAAAAAAGTTTACTTACCTTTACTCCAGCGCCAAGACTGCTTCGGGCTTCCAGCCACTCTGCCTCCCATGATGTCATCTGGCTCTCGAGACAGTGGCCAAAGTGATGTGCACGGACCGTGTGCACATCGAGGCTTTCCCATTGGAAATCACGGTAATGATTTCCTATGGACTTCCACGTCACCAGACAAATTTTTACACTGTCAGTTTAGTGGAAGCGCCTCTAGTAGCTATAATGATTACAGCCATTAGAGGTGGATTTAACACTGAAGTTTAAAAAAATTACCCTGCAATGAACTAAAAGATCCTCTCTTGAAAAAGGCTTCCAGCTGAAACACTGGGGTATGATTTTGGTATCCTCACTTTTTTTTCTGGTATGTAATCTAGTTTATATCATTTTGTTTCGTACTTTGGTGTCTGGGGCTTGGTTTTTAATTTTGTTTCTATTTTTTGTTCTTCATTTTTGTTAGTTGCATTTTGTGATAGGGTATATTTCTGTACTGTGTATACTGTAAGTCATGGTACGAATTCAATAAAGATTACTTATATTTTAGAGTGTGCTCCTTTTTGTGCTATTTACAGTGTTAAAAATAAAGAATCACTAATGTGAGAATTGCCAAGATTTAAAAGTAAATTTAAAATTTAAGGGCAAAGCAGCTGACCTTCCCCCCCCGCCCCCCCGTTTTGTAAAATGCACTGCGCATGCCTAGCACTAAAGAACACAAAGCACAGCTAAGTTCACTAAACAATGAACCAGGCTGCACATAAACCGTAAGCGTCTGCAATTTATTATGCAGTTTCAATCATGTTATGCAATTAGTAGATAGAGGATAAATAGCCCATAATTACCAACTGTAGACAGGCTGACTGGACAAAAGTCATTCCCCACACAGACCATAATATAATGATTCCAATTGGAACGTCTCATACTAGTAATGGGAAAGGTCTAAGGGGCACTTTCAAAGTATGTAACTTTTTTAGTTATATATATATATATATATATATATATATATATATATATATATATATATATATATATATATATATACACACACACACACACACACACACACACACACACACACACATATATACATATACTTAGTGCACTATCTATATACTGCCTTAAAATCTGAGGACAATATTTAACTAGACAATTCATCACTACTTAGCATTAATGCAAAGGTAATGGTGCATGGTGTACACTGAGCCTACTCTCTGATAATGTTATAACGTCAAAGAATTGCAGTTGTACAGAATTGATGCAGTCAATCTGGCATGCAGAACGCAGACAGAATTATTCACTAAAGTGAGAAGTCAAATTGAATTTAAAGGAACACTATAGTCACCAGAACAACTTACGCTTAATAAAGAAGTTTTGGTGTATAGATCAAGCCCCTGCAGTCTCACTGCTCAATTCTCTGCCATTAAGGAGTTAAATCACTATGTTTAGCAGCCCTAGTCACACCTCCCTGCATGTGACTTACACAGCCTTCATAAACACTTCCCATAGAGTCATCTTATGTTTAAACTTCCTTGATTAAATATTCTATTTAATTTTTAATTTCTTATTTCCTGCTCTCTTAATGGCTTGCTAGACCCAGCAGGAGCCTTCTGTTTATGATTAAAGTTTAATTTACAGAGCAGGAGATACATTATTTTAAAGTAAGTTACATCTGATTGAAAGTGAAACCATCTGGTTCTCATGCAGGCTGTGTCAGTCACAGCCAGGGTAGGTGTGAGTAGGGCTGAATAAACAGAAACAAAAGTGGTTTAACTCCTAAATGGCAGATAATTTAGCAGTGAGGCTGCAGATGTATGATCTATACACCAAAACAGCTACATTAAGCTAAAGTTGTTTTGGTGACTGTAGTGTCCCTTTAACCCCTTAAGGACACATGACATGTGTGACATGTCGATTCCCTTTTATTCCAGAAGTTTGGTCCTTAAGGGGTTAAGGTAACAATAATTGGACTGGAAAAATACCACATCTATGATTCTAGTCCAGCTACTTTGGCCTTAAATTCGAGAATCACTTTGAATTCTGAATGTAATGATTAACTATGTCAGTTCTGTCTGCCCATTGTCAATTTTGTTCAAGTTTTGTTTGTGGATCTGTGCACACACAATTTTGGCTGAGCTCTCGGTCCTCCGAGAACAAAGAGCCAAATAGTAGATGCAGCTCTGCCCGTAACAGAACATAGCCCATTTCACTAAACACTTAAGTGTGGTATGTGTAAACAGACAACAGCCATACCATGACTGCCATCAGTTTACAGAGCTGTTCCACTCATTCTAGTTGAGGATACACTATCAAATACATTAATGTCAGCAGAAATGTATTGGGTAAGAGGCTCTCCAAATTTAGTCTTCCTGTAGCTGTATGCAGGTCGACTAAACAGTGCTTAACAAGGGAACTCCATAAAGTTAAGATTTTGTTCCAATTTTTAATGCATCATTTATACATTGCATTTGAAAAAAAATTGGTAATTTTTAAGCCACATTTTCTGTTAATTATGTAATAATACATAAAAAAGTAAAAATGTTTCTCTAGGTACTTTTAGTAATCTATAGACCAATGTATTTTTTTATGGTTTGCATAACTTAAAATAGAACGTAAATATGAAAATAAATGGATTTGTCCTTTTAAGAGAGGGCCGGGAATGGGTAGATGACCCAATGGCATCTAGCAACTCTGTATATCACAGCCTTTAATAATTTAGATCACAAAAGGCAATGTAATACTGCCTAGATACCTACAGGGTTCAGCTTATATCTGCAGGACCATTTGGCTAAAGCGCAAAAATGGCTGCTCAACAGGTTGTAAGTCCCTAAACAACTGATGGATAGCCTTTTGCATGGCAGCTGATGTGGATTGTGTTTTACAGACTGGTCAGCCAGCAGAGAGGCACAACAAGATCGAGCACCAAAATATTATTCTACCCGCACTACACCCAGGGGGTCTGCACCTGCGACACCGAGTGCCAAAGGCTCAGTTTATTCACTAAACAGTGAATTGTTAATAGCCAGTTTGCCCCACAGTAGAGGGGATTTCCAAGTCACCAATTGTTGCCTAAGATTAAGAGGAAGAAAATGCACAGTGTAACCCATAACAGCTGGCAAATGAAAAGAACACCATTAGCAAAGTTTCCCTGAATCTCCATTATGGGGATAAAGTGTGCACTTTCCTGGTCTCCTAATTCGCAGCTTAGTGAATAACCCCCACAGTGAGTGTCTCCTTGCCCTCTCTATGCTGAGCCCGGTACCAGCTCGCTCTCTCTCTCCCTGGTGGTGCCAGGCTTGGCTGGGTCCAGTCCCCCCCCGGAGCCGGTCTAGCAGGCTGGCTGGGGATGATGGGAGTAGTTGCGGTCACTCACCGAGTACGTCCGCCGTGCGGTGCCGGGCGATGAAGCAGGCGTCGTCCCCGTAGCACATGCCTTTCTTGAGGATGCCCTTCCTCGCATCCTTGCCGAAGCCGCAGCTGGCGGTGACCAGGCTGTAGTCCCGGGAGTCGGTCTGTGAGAGCCCCCCCAGCACCGCGCGGGCCACTATCCGGCCGTAGGACAGCACCGAGAACATGGCCCCGGACCGTGCGCCGCGAGGCCTCCGCTTCCCCTCCGGCTCGTCCTCCGTGTCTCCGCTTCCTCCTCTAGCCGCCTTCTTCAAGGACACCGCGGGCTGTCACCGTGCCCTCCGCCCCGGGGGCCGCCTCGCCCCTCACCGGCCGGCACCGAGCTCCTCACACACTGCGCTATCGGGCTCCCTCGGTAGCTGTGTAACGATCGCCTGCCTTCCGCGTCACTCAGAGCCGCCAATTCTGCCCGCTCCGCCGACCCTGTGCAGCCGCCATCTTTGTCACCTCAGACACATACTGTCAGTGAGGCCGGGAGGAGGGCGGGGACTGCGGCGGGGCACGTGAAGCGGCTGACGTCATCACACGCAGCAAGGATTCCCTGTCTGCACTGAGAGCCCACGTGGTGTACCGCTCTGACAACCTCCCTCCTCCCCCCTCCTCCTCCTCACTGCCAGGAACTCTGAGCCTGGGGATACACACATACTGCATTGGCAATGTATGGGCTGTGTGGCGGTGACTTACCCGGATAGTGTGCTGCGGGTTCATTTAAAGGACTACTATAGGCACCCAGACCACTTCAGCTTAATGAAGTGATCTAGGTGCCAGGTCCAGCTAGGGTTAACCCTTTTTTCTATAAACATAGCAGTTTCAGAGAAACTGCTATGTTTACTTTAGGATTAATCCAGCCTCTAGTGGCTGTGTCATCGACAGCCACTAGAGGCGCTGCCGCGCATCTCACTGTGATTTTCACAGTGAGAAGACGCCAGCGTCCATAGGAAAGCATTGAGAATGCTTTCCTATGAGACTGGCTGAATGCACGCGCGGCTCTTGCCGCGCATGCGCATTCAGCCGATGACGGAAGAAGAGGGAGGAGAATCCCAGCGCCGAGGGAGCCCGGCACTGGAAAAGAGGTAAGGGATTAACCCCCTTCTTCCCCCTTCAGCGCAGCGGGAGTGGGACCCTGAGAGTGCGGGCACCCTCAGGGCACTATAGTGCCAGGAAAACGAGTTTGTTTTCCTGGCACTATAGTGGTCCTTTAATATAGACCGCGGGGTGGGTACCATTCACAATTGTGTGAGAGGTGATATATTTGGGAACTTACAACATTTAACCTTTTTGGTTTGTTTTTTTAGACCGTTCATAAGCCCATTGGTCTCTGCAGACTCTGCGTGCCCTGGTTATCATAATGTTATGTTTTTGCATTATTTGTGTATAATCAGCTCACTGTGTAAAAAAAAAAAAAAATGTTTTTATTTAATATACCTACAGATAAACAGTATATCTTTAATTTGGCTGCGTGTGACATGGTCTTTTGAAATGTTAGAAAAGGAGGATGTTCCCAAGGTTAGTAAAGGTGGTTTGTGCAATGCATTAATATATAAGCTGAGTTAGAAGGGATATGTTGCTGACCATGGTGGCCTAAACTGCACTTCGCTGTCATTGTACACAAAACTTAAAGTTTACACGTCATGCTACACACAATTTGGTCATAGCACTTTAAATTTCATTTAAAATTACTACCAACCTGTTTCTGAAATTTAAACATGTGCTTTTGTTGTATAATTATTATTATTTTTTCCTTCTGTGGAGCTTCATTGAGTTTTTAGGCATTCTCACCTCCTTATAACGGATCCAGTGCAGCCATTAGCCTACCTTCGTGGGTATTATAGTAGTGTAACACCTACAACCAAACAATAAAGGTAACACAGGAGCGCGTGGAAAAAGAAAAACTATATTCTTTATGAAAATATTGTATATTTACAGCTTTGGGACTTGTTATGACAAGTTCATTTTAAATAAAACAAGTGAACATTTCATCTATATATGATGCTAAAACAAGTGCTAGCAAATATACACAGACATATAAAGGGTGTGGTCCATCTCCTCACTTTTTACTAGACGTGCATTTGTTGCATTCTTCCTCAAATGTATTGATTAATTTGAGGACGAATAGATTAATCCGATATAGAATCCTTTTTGAGTCGTTTGGAACCCGATCAATTGGTTTCATGAATTGAATGGAGTTTTATGTCAGTCAAATCGATTCACCAACAAGCAAATCAATCCATATCATACACTACTTCTTACTCAAGCTTATATACTCATTAAAATGCCTCATCCTGCCTAAATTTTGTTGCCAACATTTAAAAACAAAATTTCCAGGGACACTTTGCAGCACAGCTATCAATTACTACCTTGAAAATTTACCACGCCCACTGCAACAAAGCTCCGCCCACTCTGGCCAACCCACGTAATTTTATGGCAAGACAGGAGGCTTCATATTTGCTTATCTTTCTTTACTGAACCTCCCAGTAGCAAAGAAATAGTTAACAATAGTGTAAAAACAATTCAACCAATCAGAGTGTATAACAGTATTATATGATGTCATCAAACTCCTCCCACTTCCTCTTTCTTTGCTGCTTGCCTCCCAGGTGAGTCTGCTCCAGTTATATTGCCTTAGGGTTTTTGCCTTTAATGCAATATTTGAACTAATTTTCTCATTAATTTGTTAAATTTTATAGCACCCATATCTCTATTATCATTTTTAAATAATTTTCTGTGGTAATGTTTTGTTTATCAAACATTCATTTTCACTAGTTTCTCACACAATTTATTGTCAGTACACAATACCCTTACTACATATAATTATACCTAACATGTTGGTTTATTTATGTCTCTGAACAGTTTTTAAACTTTATCTCCATTGTTCCCCTTTAAAAATCGTCGGGGTTTGCCGCTATTTTATTACATTTGTGGCCGCGGTTTCCTCTCGATTATGATTCCCAATTCCCAGGAGTCCACGACTCAATTTGGCGCCCTTTCTCAGATCCCGACTTCTCGCGTCTGCAATTACCTGACACGCTTCCTCCCACCCTTTTCCTGGCGGCGGCCATCTTAAACCGCGGTTTACCTTGTTATTTATGCGCGATCGCTTCACCTCACGTGGGATCCGGTAAGTATTTTATTTACTTGTTGCTCATAGCACCCTTAAAGTGCTACCACCTTTTTCCAAATTACTCTTTGTACCTATTTGTTTTTCTTGACAGGAAAATACCTGCTGTATCTTATCATTATTAAATTATTGACTGCCCGTATGGGTGGGACCAATCTGATATGCTTCAGATAGGTTCTCTCTGTAATGGCAGAAGATGAGCTAAAACCAGTTCTGAGCGGGGACCTACTGACGGGCAGGCTATTTCAGTTGCTGTCCGTTCTCAGAATACTCTTGCGACCCGTTTTTTGCTCTCCAGTTGGTAACTATATCACACATACTACATGGACAAAGGTATTGGGACACATGACCATTACACCAACAGGTACTTTCATGACATCTAAATACATAGACATTAATATGTAGTAGGGTGGCAGAAATGCCGGGGGAGTGGGTAGCTGGGAGGTCTATACCTGACTGCAAGGCTGCACCCCTTGCAAGCACCCACTTACACTGTCCTAGTATTGCCATGGTTACACATTCCCCTACCCTCCCTCCCCCAAGTTGTACCTATGGAAAAATGATATACTTCTTTAACTTAGGCAGGACCAGCAGGTTTACAAAGGATTGAGATTTAGTCAGGCTCCTCTGCTCGCCCAGCTATGTGCATAATACTATTTACAGGCACCGCTATCTTAGAAAATTTAAGATGGCGACGCTGAGATAGAAAAAACAGAGGAACAGGTTTTCCTTCAATAAAGGTAAGAGACACCGGTCCCATGGTCCAAAAATGGTTGGGGATGCATCAGGTTAAACAGATGTGCACATCCCTAATATGCATTTATAACATCATTCTAAATGTATTTTGATTTAAATATATATGTATATTAATATCAAAATACAGTTAGAACAAATTTAAACCGGTATATAATTTTTTTGAAATGTAATTTTTTCAATTTATTTATTGATTACTTAATTATTATTAATTATTTTAAGTGTATTTTAATATAAAAAACATATAATTATATATATTAAAATACACTTTTAATAATGATTTATGTATGTGTATATAAAAGTACTTAGATCACATATATATATATAAATAGCATTTATTTGAATAATCGTGTAAAACTCTGTTATTGCAACAGATAATCCTAAACACCCCTTATTTCACAACTGTAAACCCTCTCAAACTTTTAGTCCTTTTAACACCCTAAGTAATTTAACTCTGAAATGAGCTCCTCTCTAACTTTAATCCTCTCTTTACTCTAACCACTTCTAACATTATATTTAACCCAGCATGCACTTACTCAACTGCAAAAACTCTCTGTGCTCATAGATTACAAGCAGGGATATCAGTATTTATGTGTAGTTTGTGTGTATGTATATATATATACACACATACACACACATATATATACATACACACTGCTCAAAAAAATAAAGGGACACTTAAACAACACAATGTAACTCCAAGTCAATCACACTTCTGTGAAATCAAACTGTCCACTTAGGAAACAACACTGAGTGACAATCAATTTCACATGCTGTTGTGCAAATGAGATAGACAACAGGTGGAAATTATAGGCAATTAGCAAGACACCCCCAATAAAGGAGTGGTTCTGCAGGTGGTGACCACAGACCACTTCTTAGTTCCTATGCTTCCTGGCTGATGTTTTGGTCACTTTTGAATGCTGGCGGTGCTTTCACTCTAGTGGTAGCATGAGACAGAGTCTACAACCCATACAAGTGGCTCAGGTAGGGCAGCTCATCCAGGATGGCACATCAATGCGAGCTGTGGCAAGAAGGTTTGCTGTGTCTGTCAGCATAGTGTCCAGAGCATGGAGGCACTACCCGGAGACAGGCCAGTACATCAGGAGACGTGAAGGAGGCTGTAGGAGGGCAACAACCCAGCAGCAGGACCGCTACCTCCGCCTTTGTGCAAGGAGGAACAGGAGGAGCACTGCCAGAGCCCTGCAAAATGACCTCCAGCAGGCCACAAATGTGCATGTGTCTGCTCAAACGGTCAGAAACAGACTCCATGAGTATGAGGGCCCGACGTCCACAGGTGGGGGTTGTGCTTACAGCCCAACACCGTGCAGGACGTTTGGCATTTGCCAGAGAACACCAAGACTGGCAAATTCGCCACTGGCGCCCTGTGCTCTTCACAGATGAAAGCAGGTTCACACTGAGCACATGTGACAGACATGACAGAGTCTGGAGACGCCATGGAGAACGTTCTGCTGCATGCAACATCCTCCAGCATGACCGGTTTGGCAGTGGGTCAGTAATGGTGTGGGGTGGCATTTCTTTGGGGTGCCACACAGCCCTCCATGTGCTCGCCAGTGGTAGCCTGACTGCCATTAGGTAACGAGA